GAGGCCGATCATGATACCTTCAATTGTTAGCTTGTGTTTATAGTGTCAGCTACACTGTCAAAATCGAGAGTTTGATGCGCGCAATGCTTTTCAATTTTGTATATCTCTTTGCCAAAGTTCGAACTGTCACAACCGTTGTAATGGTACCCTTCCTTTGCATCATTTTATCAACTTTTCCTAATTTCTCTCGCGCCTATTCGAGAGAAACATTTCCTAGATTCGGACGCCACCATCATTTTCCTCTAGCAGGTATAAATACTCGAGGGGACGTATATTCAGTGACCAGTTGAGGCCAGAGAAGAGTCAATGACAAGTGTAGTGAATAAAACGAGGATATACTGGGTAGTACCTGCAGATTTGATGAGATTTTTATTGGAAGCTATCTCTGTTGAATTGAAAGATAGACATGGTTGAGTATCTTGAACCATCGTCTCGAGCGCCAAGTTCTTTGGTCTTGCAAAATTTGATTGAACTTTGCTCTAGGAGAATATTTCGCTGCCAGGATCGTAGAAGATATCGCGGACAGGTGGTCCAATTTTTTTCCTCCGGTTCACTGTTTTGAATCCAGGCGCAATAACCAATTTAAACTCCTAGATGCTAATATTCTACAGCTGATTTGTAAATAATACTATTAATCTTATTGAATCATACCTGATAACTCGGCTTTATCAATGGATACCCAACAAAGGTAAATTTGATAACCCTAGAGTTGTCCCAGCATAATTTTTATCCATGCATACGAGCATCGTTAGAAGCGTGATCGGATCTTGCTTAGCTCGGATAAGCGATGTCATGTCTTCAGGAGAACAAGTATCTAGGTCATTCAACCACTTCTCCGGAGACCAACCTGAGTGATCTACTACTGCGCCATTCATCCGCAGCCATGTACGTGGTGTCTTCTGCACCCCAATTTGTGGAGACGCTGCGGGCTCAATTCTCAGCAATGCAAGCAACTCTTTGCCAAACGAATCCATCTTTAGCAAAGTCTAGCTCGTCTATCTTTACATCTCTCTTTTCCATGCCAAAAATTGTGTCTACCAAATTTGTACACGCTACTAACCTATTTCTTCGTCGAGCACTAAATAAAGTATGGTCTCTCTATTTGAATCTTTTCTTTCACTCCAGAAAGGTTGAAATAAATCTAAAATTTTCAAGTCGATTTGAGATTCCAATCTTATCAAAATCAGACTCAAATAATGAACTATGCTTTGTTGCTAGTACCAGCTTTAGCTATGGTTATAACTAGCACGTTCTGTGCCGGAAGTGATAGAGGTGTTTGCAGCAGCATCAAGAGGTCACGCTGCGTAGAGTAGTGTTTAAATCCAAACACGAGAGACACGAGGCTTCGAGTGTGAATAAATTATGGTGCGACGGAGCCGTCATGATCTCAAGGTTTCGTTAGATAGTCACTTCATGCTGCAGCTCTACCCTTACCTGCCATGACGCATTATAATAATAACAATTGATAGCTAGTAGGATTTAGGCGAGACTGAACCGAATACCAAAACTAGTATGCGAAGATAATATGCATAGCTTTTTGGAATGGAAGATTTACACACCCATTGAACTGCGGTTTTACACAAAGCTGATGTTCGTTATTTCTGGGATTCACGGTCAGAAGGACTGCGGAAATAACCAAGGAGTCGTTGGATTAGGGACTGAGAGATTTGGACGTGGAAAAACCAAAATTCAACTGGAATCTTTCAGGGTAGCTATTGAAACGATCTGTCTGATTTTTCTTAACAACAAGGGATGGAATTTGCAAAACTCTAATTTCATGGCTCAAGAGAATTGTAGGTTTTGGAGCCATTGGCAGATTTATGGATCACGTGTGGAGAATCTGAAAATTTCTGGTAAAGACTAGAACAGATAACGAATAGGAGCCTGATTGTAGGTACGAGTGGATGGGGGGAGACTTAAGCCTTGTTAAAGATGTGTAACTTAATGGTGCATGGGAGACTGATGCGTCTCACGCCACTCATGCCAAGATAATCGTAGGACCCAAATCCTCGAATGAAATGTGCTCATGAGGCACTAAGATCTAATTGGAGGACCAGCCACTAGTTCAACTCAGAGAAAACCATTCGAGAATACAAACTTCTTGAGCTCTCTTCGAAAAGTTGTGAGTATGGTTCAATAGGTAAAGCTTGCCATTGACAAAATCGGGTCAAAAAATGTGAGCGGAAAAGCGTTTGGGAGCGATTGGCTGATTCGACTCGGCTAAACAGCGTATCAATCGAGGGCGACGACTCTACCCGTCGGGCCGATACGCCGAAAAGGGAGATTATCTGTCGACGGGCCGAGTTTTAATATTTTAAATGAACGGGGACCCGCAATTGTAAGCGACCGAGCCAACTGACAGAAAAGTGGATTCAGATGACGCAGTGTCTGATGTGTGACGACATAGATTTAATGCCTCATCCCTCGTCCCTAAAGTGCTCGGCCGCCTCATGATTCGGGGCAGATTCGACTCTAACCAGTCATGTATGTCCAAAGCCCCGCCTGGGCTCTATAGCTGTTGGACATATAGGGGTTTACCGGTAACTTATCGAGAGAGACGTGTCTAACTCTCCACTTGAGTCTTCTAGATAAGACAGGCAGCCCCACACGAGCGCATGTAGGCACACGTGGGAAGCGAGGTATAACTATACAGTTGAGGCGGCACAGGTCCGGTATGGGTGAGAGTTGAGGCTAAGAATCGTGGGGATCGAGCTTCCAACACAGTGTCAGATAAATGATAGCTCTCGGTGCTTAGGTAGCTAGAACGAACATTCCTGATGTTTTGTATGGTGTTTAGCTTTTACTGGTGCCAAGATGGTAGGCTGGTGACGCTGATGATGTTGGTACCAGTTGCTGGTGCGAAATCGATAGGATGATAATGCCGGTATATTCCAAGCGTGTACTGGCTGCCATCAGTGGAAAAGCAGTGTTTATTCATGTCCTTATCTCTTTTTTGTGCCACGTATTGCGTGAAGCCATCCTATCCATCCGTGAGGAGCATGGCCGTAGAAGATGCAGGCGGACATTGGGGGGGCTGACAAAACGATGTGTGCAAGTTGATCATAAAAAGCAATATTTTGGTTACCTACACAACAAGGCTTCTACCGCCTATCCCTGGCTCGACACTTGCTCATGGGCCGTCGGATTTCTCCATTTCGATTATCCCTGGCCTTACCGAGGTGACGCTAATATGGCCCGGTCCGCCCGTTCCCAATCAACTTGGCTGCTCAGATCCCTGAGCTATGCACAACGCGAAAAGTCTCCACAAGAAGAAATGACCCCTCGTTCCCTTTACCATTTCGCCCTCTCAGGCTGCTCGACCTAGGTGCTGTGGTGTTCTGGTGGAAGGCAAGGGAAGGGGGTGGAGAGACAGCGCATCAATCTTTCCCCTCACCCCTCACCCTCCCCCTCCCGAAATAATTGCAAAAGCCAAGTGGATAAAAACTGCCGTTTCCCCTCGTCTCCCGCAAATTAAGCAAAGAATTTTAACTTCGCAACTCAGTGCTACACCTCGCCGGCGCAACTTAGACATACTTCGCACTACATTACCGCCCTCCATTCGGCTCCTCGATCGAGAGTTCCTCCCTGGAAAGTGCACCAGCTCAAGTTCTCCTCAGTCTTCTCTCTAACTTGAGCCTCGTAAAGGCATCTGGAGAGATTTTCAAGGGTAATTATCTAGAAAAAGAGAGTTTTTTACGGAATTAGATTCTTCAAATATTCCAAAAATACTCAACGTCTGAATTGGTTAAAAAGCCTCCAAGGCCGGAGTCCTCGGATAACTTGGTCTACATATCCGCCCTCCGGATTATTCATTACAAGGCCGTTTTCTTTTCCTATCCGCATCCCACCCCTTCCAATGAGCTGCGTGCAGACTCAGCCCTGTGGCTCTCTTCATTTGAATACCATGACAGACTTTAGCCCACCAAATACTTCCCGGACCAAACCCAATGCGAGGTATATATTTTTTGTTTTTTCTTTGCTTTTTTGTTACATCTCGGGTTGATCTCAAAGTGTTTCGGGTGGCGTTACTGCGATATAGTGTTTTCAGTCCCTCTAACCCACCCAACCTGGAAATGGATATAATATCCGGAATCTCCTCCGATGATTACGGACGAGAAGCCCCTTGCGAATCAGATCTGCATATACCATCGATGATTCAACCAACGACTAAAAGAATCTGCAAATATGGTCAGCGATATTCGAGAATAGATCTTGGTGAGTACCAGTCAGTTTTCCACAGGATTATGGAATCTACTTCATTTACTACTTTCATCTACGACCTTTCCAGGACTTTTCCTACCATGCAATTCAGTCCTTGGCTTCCATTCTGGATCCTGGGTATCCTCATAGATTTTCTTTATTATTTGGGCCTTGAGATACTAGTATCATGTGATCAAGTGAGACCTCGAGCTTCTGAATACCATCAAGCTTTGATTTTCACTTCGTACTCCATTCGTACAAGGTCGCAAACATAATATAGCTACCACTTTGGATAAACAATATGCCTCAGAAATTTACGGAATTGATCTAGAACGCTCGCATTGAGAATCATAACTGGCCATATTTCGGAAATTTCAAAGTCAATATACGTGATATTACCATTCAAATGAGACCGGAACGTCGCTCAAATATCCTCACTACAAAATGGTCCGGAGCCCATAGGAAATACTGGTACCAGGAACTGGAAACATAGATTTTGCTGATTTTTATCAAACTTTGCTACGAAAATCTACCACAGGACCAGGAAAAGGCCATTTAGGTTGTACCAACTACAAATATTGGAAGCGACTCTACCAGTGACTATGAAATAATGGCACTAATTCTCCTCAACAACCAAAAAACAGACCTGCAACAACATGGACTCATGATACTTTAGGCAGGATAATGTCGCACTATCATCTTGCAGTTGATGACTTAGTAGCATATTTTGGTCTTGAACTGTTTTTTTATCTAGTGGCGTTTTTGTTAATGTTTTTGGGGTCACAGCACACTAACATCGAATGTGTAGCGTATTTTCACCGGTATCTAAATTTCGTATTGCTCCTGAATACTCATTGAAGATTGAGCCAGAGATTGGAAATGATCCTCCACTATACGGAATCTGTGAAGGATCACAGAATTTACATATAGACACAATATCACCCACTCGAGGTATTCGGAATGGAACAATTGAATATGGTTCTCTTCAGTTTCTCCCAGAAAATCACATTCCGGAGTCTCTGAACCAAATCTGGAGCAATAACATGTCACCTAGCATTGCATCACAAGTAATGTCGCGATTTCCCTCGCAGAGCTCTTGTGGTGCTCATTCTCAAAGATCTTCATACCCTAGCAATTCCATGAACATGTCCATCGTTAGTACTAATCAAAAAGTCAATATTAACAGTCCTGAACATCCTGAAGTCTTAACACATGCTCAAAATTTCGATACGAGTTTATTCCCAGCTGGTCACCGGAACTCGATTACAAGCATGACATCTTTATCTGGCACCACATCGTACGAAATTTTTGGCTCAACAGGTGATGAAGCTTATTCTCTAATGGATGTAGGATCAACTGACCCCATCATCTACAACCCACGCACAGTTACAGAGAGTTCTCTCTGGGTGGATCCAAGCTTTCTAGACTCCCCCCAGCCATCTCTAGCATTGGAAGATTGGCATATTGTCCCGGTTAACAACTCTTCTATTGCTAATTCTCCAAGTGTTGAACCATCTTCTCCAGTGTATGCCGATGATCAAACTCAACGTCCGATTTATGCACAACTTTCTGTTGAAAAATCCAAGAGAAAAAATAGTGGATCTAGGCAACCCAAAGCAGCCGGAGAAACAACATCATTCCCAAAACGCTCGCGAGCACCCAGGTCAGAGGCCTCTGATGACTCATATAGAATTATACCTCGTTCCAATTCAGAGCTTGATAATTCTGCTCGTGAGCATCCATTGTACCACAACGCCTCACCACAAGCCGACGGACTATACCATTGTCCATGGGAAAATGAACCAGGTTCAAACTGCCAGCATAAACCTGAGAAGCTCAAGTGCAACTACGAGTCAGTTTTCTATTCGCACTGTCAAATTAGTGTTATAGATAGGCTAACGGAAAAAAATAGTAAATTCGTTGATTCACACTTGAAACCTTACAGGTGTAAGATTGCTATATGCAAAGATTTGCACTTTTCTTCAACTGCGTGCCTACTTCGCCATGAGCGAGAAGCTCATGCAATGCATGGACATGGCGACAAACCCTTTTTGTGCACTTACGAAGGCTGCGAGCGTGGTATGACAGGAAATGGGTTTCCACGACATTGGAATTTGCGTGATCATATGAAGAGGGTGCACAACGATTCAGGACAAACGAGATCCAATGCATCTGCTAACTCTCCGCCTCCTACGACTGCTAAAGGTCGTAAGAGGAAAGCAGGTGATGAGATTATATCTTTTTCCAAGAGAATTGTCTCTCCTCCAGCTTCTCATCGTCCTAGGGAGCCAAGCATGCTCGAGAGATACTATGAAAAGCAACAACAGCTCTTGGATACAGTCAACCAGCTTCAAAATCCCAGACAAACAGATAATATGGCTCTCCTGCGGAATGCCAATGACTGTATTAAGGTGATGGTACAAACAACTCAAAGAATCAACTCAGCTCCGCCGTCAGAATCACCATCAAAGTGAAAAGATAAAGATATGTTACGCTATGTGGGTATTATCACTTGCCACCAAGTCTAGTCTCAGCTGATAATTTTAGTCGTACATTTCCAAAAAAGATAAAGTGAAAAATCCTTTAATCAAAAGATTTGCAAAATAAATCTTTTCAGCACAACCTCCCAAAATTACGCCCGGCCAGGATGCCGACAAGATACGTCAAATGTTCGGGGATCATCCCATGTTCCTGAGAAGACCCGATAACCAGCAAATAGTGGAACTGTTTAAAGCTGCGTTGTCACATGAACAGATACACCGGCAAAGTCAATTCATCCTCACTAGGGTAACGAAAAAGATAAATCTCTGCGCGAGCAAAGTGGTTTATTGACACCACTTTGAGAACAAATTGACTAAAATTTGTCTTTTGTTCTGATTTTTCTCTTCACCCAAAGTTCATCCTCTCCGACATGTAATTCGATATTCCAGAAAAGTGGAAGATATTCATAGATAACTGAAAGAGACCAAAATCAGCTGACTATTGAGGAGCATCTTACTGCTCATAAAAGTCTTGGATTAACGGAAAGTGGTTCTATTAGCTACTAATCTCCTCTGTTATAAATAAGAGAGTAAGAAAATTTCAGTACATGACGGTCAGATACTTCATACTATCTGGAGGCCATTCGGACTAATAGTGACTATTATTCGTTGCCTCACTACGGCCATAAACATTCGGTCATAAATCTTTCAGATTTAATTCTACTAACGATAGGTTACTGTCACTAATCTATATCTTTGAATTCAATTTTATACATCAGAACATAAATGAAATCCATTAATAAATTCCCTAGGTAATTTCCAGAACCCTAAATTCTAAACAACCTTTTTCGTTCTCTATTTTTCAACTCCAATTTATCCTGAAGTTGGTTCTTGAAGCACATGTCAAAGAGTAAGTCTAGCTATAAGCCTATTCTACAACCCATCGACTCAAAGACATGTCAGGGATAATTTTATCTTGGCACACTTTACCAGTTTTCCACTTGTCTATTACTAAGTTGATGCTAGAAGGTAAAGGGACTTTATCGGAAATTTTGGTGATGAAAGCGTGATTAATCGTAAATACTTTGTAAGTCCCGCGAAATTGTTTTTTTCTTAACTTTAACCCCTATTGAATTGAATTGAATTAGTCTCGTTTAACGTCCTATGCGGTATCTATATACAGTACCATGAAGACGGTAAGCCATGTTAAGAAGGGAAAAAGCTTTCAAGCAACAAAATCTATAGTTCCGCCGCGACGGCACAGCTCAGCTTGATGCTGAGGTTGTCCCTTCTTTCCGTTCAATTTTGTTTCACTCCAAATTTTAACTCTATCGCCCCGATCCCTACTCAGCTGAAGTTTGGCAGATTCCTTTCACCATCCTCTCCTTTTTTTGATGACGGAATCGTTGGAACTGCCAGTGTCATAGCCCTTAATATATTTAATACTGCTGTTGAGTCTGCAGTCACCTTTCGTGGACGTCCTGGTCACCTCTTCTGGGGTTCGACCTTGCGATTAGTGACCAGTGTAAATCCTTGATCGTCAGTGGTCGCAGATATTGTTTGCCACGCAATTATGGGACAGGTTTCCCTTCGAATTTCCGCTGTCCGTTCCAGAAGCTCGAAGCGGGCTTTCTGAACACTCCTCTTGTAGAATTGAAATGACCGACACAACGCTCTCTGCCACGAACGATGCTCCTTGCCACAGTTGACGCAAGAAACTCTTTTCCTAGGACAGTCCCGGGTTTGGTGAGCACCTGCGCACTCACCGCACCTAGCTGTCTTTCCGCATGACGCCTGCGTATGTCCCCATTGACTGAAGTTGTAGCATTGCTTTGCCTGAGCCCTCGGGGACCACACCTGCGCTGAGTATAGCATGGCATTAAGGACGATGCCATGTCGAACAACTTGTTTCTGCAAGACCTCCGTGGGAAGACTCAGAACAATTGAGCCCCTTGTGCGGCCATTTGTCTTGGCCCGCTCGATCTCCTTCCCGTCGTGCATCCATCTTATTCTGTTGATTTTTAGACCGGGAATTCGTACTGCTGTAGACGATTCTATCTCCCGTATAAATGTTGTGTTGTTGGCATATTTGCCCCCTTCAATTTTTGTCCTCAATGGGACTCCGTAAACCTCCACTGGAAAACCTTGCCTTAGGACCTGAAAGTTCTCTTGTTCTGCCATATTGAGAGCCACGTCTCTCTGGGTGGCCAACTGAACAAACACCTCGGTGTCATTGCTCCGCATCTGTCGCACTGCGTATGCCTCTGGTATGTGTTTTTGTGCCTTTGTTAGCAGCTGTGCGGGCTGCATGTCTTTTGCACTCTCGACGCGTATTCGAACCGCTGATTTGGCCATTGGCGGTGCTGCCACCGACGCGTATGTTCTTGGGGTCGGCGGCCCAGAAAATATTGGAGCCGCGTTGCGAGCGGGCTCCGCGAGGCTCTTCTTGACTGCTTATATAAGAGCCAACATCCTGTCTTCAATGAAAGATTTCATCTTTTGCATATCCTTCCTAGCCTTGTTATGTGCGTTGAAGGCCCTGACGGCCTCCGTGATGTCTTCCGTAGTAATGGTAATGTCATCATCGTCTTGATCTGAATAAAGAGTCCTGAGATTTTTTAGTAATAGCCGTAGGATATTTAAATACTTATCTGGAGGAATTATTGACGCTCCGCTGTCTTCAAATTGTTTAGCCATTGTCTCAATTTGCGATGCGTCGGGTCCGCTGGATCCCATCGAACCGGCACCAGCACTCACCATGTGGTGATACAGTGCTTCTATTTCTTATTTTATTTTAAATGATCTCTAATTCATCACCCATTATGGATAGCCGGTCAGCTTAGCATCTACCCGTCGAGTTCAGCCACTTTGTCTACGGAGCCCTCCAGCCGGCAAAGACGAATTCTTCACCTTCTAGTAGTGCCGGTGTTATCTCTCAGTATGCTCTGCATATCTGGGATAGCCAAGAAGAATCGCATCCGAATCGAAGTCGAAAGCAACCTCAAACACATCTTCATTTTACGACTTCTCGACTATGCCTCTCTCATCATTATCATCTGAGTCCTCAACCCATCTCTAACCACGCATCATCTCGCCTCAACGACCAATAAAGAAGTTGCTCCAATTGCATACAGGAGCTTGCCCTATTAATTTCCAGCCATCTCTCGCTACATATTTGCGACGCTATTTATATCCGCAAGGAGGAAATCAAGTCGAAAAATACAAAGCCTGGGTCTTGGCTTATGGGGGGCTGTTGCTCTAATAGAACAAACAACTTAAGGGAGAACAAGCAGCTGAAATTTGAAGCGAGACGGGAACAGGTCTCTGAAAAGCATGCTGGAAACTATATTTTCGAGGAGTTTTCAACTTTGGAATGTTTGTGGGCGCCGAGACCGAGACTTCGGAGAATTAGCCAGGAGGGGTTCTTTTGTCGATGAGTCAACGGCACTCACCAGCGCCCTGGACGGTACAAAAGAAGCTGGGCTAAGCTATCATACAGCAATCAAACTCTGTCAAGAGGGGGGGACGAAGGCTGAACGCCTGTCAGTGGTATGCTCTACAAACCTGGGAGTGAAATATTCTCCCAGTGCCGAGACTCATGCACAACAAAGGGTGAATTTGAGGGTTTTCGTTGAGTTGGCGATGGCAAGAAGTGGTGTTGGCTCATTTTTGTTCGGAAATCTGACTTGCAGAGATTTCACGACTGCACAACTCAACGACATCAACCATTTACACCAAATATACGAACCGTAGACAGTCTATGACCGTTTTATGTACGTATCAAAACAACCGATATTTTCAAGATCTCTTATTTTTCTTTGGAAAGTCATTCCCAGCCAAACTCATCTCGCGGCCCTCTCCACAATCATCTCATCACCTACCGAAGCAATCCCATACCTCTAAAATTCAAATTGCCAACAAAGAAGCAAGAAGATGTCCGATCCTCCGCAACTGCCAGTCGCAGTGATGGTACGGTCGAAATACCGGCATTAAATGCGTCTGTACCTCGGCCAAGGGCACCCACAACTCAACCTGTGACGAATTGCCGCCGACAAAATACTTACGACATTACGCCGGCACACCATCTAGAGCGATCGACAAAGGATGAGGCACCGGTGCCTCGGTCTAGAGCTCTCAATTGGGTTTTCGACCTCCACGGTTAAGGGCATGGCAGCGACGGGGCAAGGCCGGAGAGATGGACATCCTACAAAGTTTCTGGGATGATGAGATCGGCTGGAGGACAGAGGGACTCTGTAGGTGGGGGAAGGAACTATAAATTGAGGAGGCCTTGGTGGGCGACTGAACGAGGCCTCCAATGAAGAAAATTTTGTGCTGGTGATGGCTAGATTACGATGCATAAGGATAATGATCACTGAGGGTGAAGGAAGAACCTTCCAGGTGGCTCCATGATGAGTAGAAGAGTAATGGATCATTGTATAGAAAGTGTTTCTAGATAATACTACCAGATGGAGGATACTAGAATATTCCATGATACTGTTTTGAGAAAATAAGGCGAGAGTTTAGCTAACTCAGATGTGTATATAGTTAGCGCTTTCTACCTACTAAATCCTCATAGTTCTGAATACCAAGAATATCAGCAGTTCAGATTGATTCATCAATAATCACCTGTAAATCTTCTGCCAATAAACCTCCGCAAGCTCTTACCTTTACCACAGAAAACGACTACTGGACGAGGTGAGGAGATTCTAAGATGAGCCAAACCCTGGAATGAATCGTAGGGAAAAGTTACAGATCGAGAAGGTGTCAAGTGCTCTGGCGCGTGGTGGCCGAGGCGGAGGAAGAATTTGCACTTCGGCGCGTCAAAACAGGGTTCTCTGGACGGTTGGGCTTGACACGAATCAACACATGGGTGAAGTCTGAGGTGGTCCGGTCATTCAGGTGGGACGAGGTAAATGTACTTTATGGTAGTTAACCTGATCCGGCCCGGCTCCACTCGTGCTTAAACTGCAGTAGGAGTGCGATAGGTGATATGT